CCCCACGCCCGAGCAATGATTTCTTTACAGGCCAGTGGGTGGAAAGTCTTGTGGATCCAGTGGTGGTGGAAGCATCTCAGCACTGGCGTGAGCATCCACGTGGCTCCTCCAGCTCCAGGGCGACAAAGCAGAGAGAGTGCATCTGGCCTGCAGTGAGCTTTATCTCCCTAGTGCCTCCAAATGAGGTCATCAAGCTGTGACCTGCTTGACAGGCTAGACTCCACCCCTTCGCAAGTTGACAGATTACGTAACTACCCCAGCATTGTAGGGTATGAGCATTAATAAGGAGCATTGGACCCCCCCATAAGACCTTGCTGGGAAATGTGTATCACACCTGAAATGTCAATAAACACGCTGGCGGGGGCCCTGGGCTCTGAGGCAGCGTGCATCCACGTTTGTGCGTGCATGTGTATGTGCATGTGTGCATGGCAGGCTTTCAGGAGTTTGCTCCTGGCCAGTTGTTTGGGTGGCTTCTTGGAGGTGACTCTGGGGATGGCAGGGGCGGGGATGGGGGGTGGACGTGGAGGTCACCTGGAGGCTAGGCCTCTGCACAGAAAGGACCTTGTCCTCCCTGCAGTTTTGTGCTCAGAAAAGACGGGCCCCTCTGGGCCCCGTGGACCGTCTGAGGTTGAAGGCATCTTCTGCTTCCTTTCATCTCCCCGGGGCACGTGACCTGCAGCTTTTTCATGACTGCCCTCCTTGAACCTCCTGGCCACGGCCCTCCCTGCTGCTCCTCCTCTCCTCCCCTCCGCCCCAAGCAGGCGGGTCCTGGGGTGGTGGGCTGGGTGACCCGTACCAGCGCAGTGAGACAGCATACCCCTCACTGCCCTAAGCTTCTGGCAGATGGGCCAAAGTGGCTGGGTCTCTGAGCAGCCCGGTGCACACGAAGCAGGCATGGCCCCCACCCCGTGAGGGGCCTTCTCCAGGGCCGGAGTGGAAGATGGCATTGTGCGGGCGGCTGCGGACCGGCCCTCAGGGAGCCTTGGGACTGCTTCCACAGGGCCACTGTAGAGCATTGAGGTCCGCATGAGAGGGAGCCCCTGCCACCCAGGGCATAGAGGGGGAAGAATAAGGTGGGCTGACTGGCCCCTGGAGGGTGAGGTCTGGAGGTTCAGAGGACCTGGTGACCTGAGAGTCTGATCATGCAGGCCTCCTCAGTCAATGTGAGGGGCAAAGTGTGTGTGTGGGGTGTCCTGGGCCTGAAAGGGGAGTCCACCTGATCTGCTACAAGTGCAGGTGCGGGGAGACCAGGGGCAGAGGACCGGCTGGGTTTGTGGGAAGCCAGTCTCTTGCATGTGTTACCCTCCCACGCCCCTGGCTTCCTGCTCTGTGACCCCCTTCCCCGGGGCACCTTTTGGGGCGGGGTCCTGGGTAGCTGACGTAGCTCTGACTTGGGGAGGGACAGGGTATCCCTGGGTGTCCTGTGCTGTGTCCACCCCAGGTGCATAGTCCAAGGGCGGGGCGGAGTCAGCCTGTCTGTGGATGCACCTGGCTGGCCCCCCAGGTGTGCAGGGGCCACTGGGGATCCCCTACCCCTGCTTGCCTGCCTGGGTGCCTGCCTGCTCGCTGCTTGGGGCCCAGGAATGTTCTGGAATCTGCTTGGCCTGGGGAGGCAGCGGGTGAGGCCATTTGGGAGCCAGACACCAGCCATTACTGGGCGGACCTGGGCGGGGCGGCCGGGTGGCCAGAGCTCTGCCTAGAGGACCCTGGTGGCTCCCACCTGAGGGCAGGGCGGCCGGTGTGGAGGGCTGTCAAGGTAGTTCTGAGGGGTACCTGGCCTCTGGGGGGGAAGGGCTTCAGGGGAGGTGCGGCCATCCGATCCCAGGCATGGTGCCCAAGGGGCTGGGGGTTCAGTGAAGGAGTTGGCAGAAGGCCGGGGGTGGGGGCAGAACCAGATTGCAGGGAGGGCCTTTGGAGTCTTCCCATCAGCCGAGCGAGCCAAGGTCCCCAGCTGGGAGCCCACCCCTGGGCCTCTCATTTCCCCCTCAACGCATCGGGCCCTTGTCCTTGGACGGTAGACTAGGTGGCTGATGAGAGTCCTCCTGCTGCCCTCCTCCCACCCTGGCCTTCCCGAGCACCAGTTGGGAACAAGCCCTACCCTGGACCCAGGTGGAGAACGGAGGTGGGCACTGCTGAAGGGGGTGGTGACCGGGCACCTGGAGAAGCCAAGGTCAGCTGGGCAGACAGGGCTTGCCCTTCATGGTCAGTGGTCAGTGTCAGTTGGACATCACCTGTATCCTGGTCCCTACCTCGTGTATCCCACATAGCAGGGGTGGGGATAGTCCGAGGGGCCCTCTCCCCTGGCTCTCTGGCCCGTTCACACCTGTAGCAGGGCCTGTCCACGCCCCACCCTCGAGAGCCAGGACCTCTGGGTGCAGTGGAATCTGGGCTTGGCCAGGTGGACACGGAGGGGTGCTAGGGCTTCCTTGGGGCCTCTCCCTCTTGCCTCCCTCGCTCCCATCTGTGCTTGGCTCCTGGAGCCCTTTGGATCTCTCCCTTCTTTTCCTTTCCCTCCCCTTGAAGTGGGCCAAGCAGCTGGCAGCTGTGGGGGCCGTGGGCCCGGCACTGAGGGGCCTCTCCCTGCCGGGGGTGGAGGACAGGCCTGGGCAGGAGGGTGTCGGTCCAGAGGACTGCTACAAGGCCCTCCTTCCCCTGCAGGGAGCGTGCTGGAGGCCCTGGTTGGGGCCTGGTTAATTCTGCAGCTCTGTCTCCTCCCAGCATGGTGGATCTGACCAGGGCTGTGTGGAGGAAGGTCCACCGGCCTTCTTAGCCTGGTCCCAGGCGGAGGGAGAGGGAGGCCCACAGCCTGCAGCCTGATGCCGGGTGGGAGCCCAGGGCTGTGGGGACTAGGTGGAGCTGGGAAGCCAGGCCTGGGTCAGTTGGGAGGGAGGTAATCGACTCTGGCCCATTCAAGGCCTCAAACTAAGGACCAAGGTCTGGGGGCTTTGGAGGTGGGGCTCTTGGGAAGGTGAGAGCTAAGGGCTTGGTGAAATCCTGAGGGACAGGTGGGGGTCCCTGTGGCTTGTCTTCCTCCTCAGACCCCTGGCTCTCTTCCAAATCAGCGTTGAGAGGCACGGTAACGACTTTTCAGAACCCAGAGCAGCCCGGTCCTGTCTTGGGATTGGGGGTGTGGGTGTGGTTGGGGGGCGGAAAGCAGACCGTGTGCTCGAGTGTGAGGGTCCCAGGGTGTATCGCATGCTTGGGGGTCTTCACTGCAGGTCCTTCCAGGTGAGGGTGACCTGCTGGTGCCGGGCCCACTCAGGTGTCCCCAGACACAGGTGTCTCCTCTCATCTGCTTCTCCCTTGACCGTCACAGTGGTCAGGAAGCCCCTCCTGCAGTCCAGCGTCAGGGGAAACAGCCCTGTTGATCTCACCGTACTCTCTAACCTTGGCTTTGAGCACCCGTGAGCACCCCCAAAGACTTCACAGGAGGCCGGGACTCTTGCCCCCCACTCCCACACAGCTGGCGATGGCCCCTCCCTGACCCCCTCACCTTCTCCGAGGGGAGGAGGGGGTACCTCCCAAAGGGTTGAGATTGCCTGCTTGCAAACGGAGGGCTTCCGGCAGCTTGGCCTCAACATGGAGGGCCCTGGGTCCCGTTCAACCCTCGACTCCTTCCCAGCCCCCTGGGTGGCCAAGAGCCAGGCCACCCACAGGCTGTGCCCCGTGCCAGGCCCGCCCGTTCCTGCCCTGTCCCAAGGCCTGGCCGCCCCTGGGAGTGCCACACAGACACTGGTGCAGTGAAGACGCCAGGGTCCCGGCAGCGCCTAAATCATTAGGCCGCGGAGATTAGGCTGTAATCTCTTTGTTGGGAAATGAGCCAGTGCCAGCCGCCACGATGTGGGAGCAGGCTGTTCCTCCCAGGGGTGGCCTCAGGGTGTGGCCTGGCGCAGGTGGGGTGGGGGGGCCGGTCCTGTCTGCGCAGTCCCGAGGCTCCACGGCTTCCCCTCTTGGAGGAATTTTCCTCAGGGACCGGGGGAGCGAGCAGGGCATTACCCCTCACGCCCCCCCCCCTGCTTTATTCTCCCCCCTCAGCCACATCCCCACCTGTGTTCATAGAACCAATCACATGGTCCCGTCTTGTCAGAGCTTGGCTGGGGACACTGGGGACACTGTCCGGCTGCCCTCCTTGCCCTTTAACCCAGCCCGCTGCCATCAGATGGGGTCCGACTCTCTCCGAGCGACCCCACGGGCAGGGTGGCACTGCCTCTCGAGGGTCCCGAAACGGTCACTCTTTCCAGGAGCAGAAAGCCCGTCTTTCTCCCTCTAAGTGGCTGGTCAGCTGGTCAGGGTGGGTTGCTGACTTGGTGGTCAGCTGTCCAGCGCTGGCCCGTGGCGACACCAGGCTCCTTCCCTTAGGCCCAGGCAGCTGGCTTTATGTCCACTTCATAGCCGGGGACCCTGAGACTAGGGGCTGACTTATCTTAACACCCGTGTCCAACGCTCCCTCCGACCGACGGCCCCATTTCCCTCAGATGTGGGGAATCCAAGGCCAGGGCTGGATCGCTCCATGTTAGACTTGGAATACTTCTAAGAGAGAGCTCAGTCTACCTCCTCAGACAGAGGCACCCTGAGGAGGGGGCTGGGTCTCCCCCTCAGACAGGGGCTGTGTCTCCCCGCTCAAACAGGGACACCTTCAGGTTGGAGCTGTATCTCCCCTCTCAGACAGGCCTTCCCTTCAGGTCAGGGTCTCCCCGCTCAGACGGGGCCCTTACGTTAGGGCCTGCCTGGGGGAGGGTGTCACCGGCTCTCCCCACCCTCCCCCTGGGGCCAGGGTGTGCTGGGTGGGGGCCAGGCAAGCCTCCCGGATCTAGGCCTGTGGAGCCTTGTTCAGGCCCTTCCTGGCTCCTGGGCTGGCTTCTCCCAACTCCCCCCCAAGAATGAGCTCAGCGGCCTAATTGGGGCTGTGGACGGAGGATCACCCTCGCCCGGGGCAGCAAGTCCAACACCACCTTTGTTTCTGAGCAGACAACGGGCCCCTAGGTGTCCCCCGTGCCCAGGCCAGGTTGGGCCCGGGTGGGGTTGGGGTGCTCTCGGTCAAGCCCCGGGCCCTGGGTGGCCGGCACACCAGCAAATTACACGGCTCAGGGTTTGGCTCCGACTTCAAGGGCCAGGGCCCAGCCCCTCAGCGGCCGGGCTATAAAGGGCTGCGGGGTCTGGCCCAGACCAGCCCTGCATTGACCTGTGGCATCATGGCCGTTACCACCAGCAGCATCCGCCAGTTCTCCTCCTCGGGCTCCTCCAAGGGGCTGTGCGTGCCCGGTGGAGGCTTCTCCCGGGTGTCCTCCGTCCGGGTCGGGGGCGCCTGCCGGGCCCCCAGCCTCCTGGGAGGGGGCAGCTGCAGCAACATGTCGGTCACCTCGTCCCGCTTCTTGTCCGGCATGGGGGGTGGCTATAGCAGTGGCGGCTATACCTGCAGCCTGGGTGGGGGCTTCGGCTCCAGCTTGGGTGTGTCGGACACCCTGCTGGGGGGCAGTGAGAAGGAGACCATGCAGAACCTCAACGACCGCCTGGCCGCCTACCTGGACAAGGTGCGTGCCCTGGAGGAGGCCAACGCCGACCTGGAGGTGAAGATCCGAGACTGGTACAAGAAGCAGGGCCCGGGGCCCGCCCGCGACTACAGCCACTACTTCAAGATCATCGAGGAGCTGCGCAGCAAGGTGGGCACTACCTGCCCCCTGCCCTCTGCCCTTAGAGCCTGCCTCTGCCTCGCTCCACACCTAGACCGCCATCGTCCGCTTGCTCACTCCTTTGTCCCCTCACTTTCCAGCCCCTGGGCCCAGGCCTGGAGAGTTCTCCAGGAAGACAGATGGGGGCCCTCCCTTCCTGGGGCGGGGGCCAGGCACGTTTGGAGATAGGAGGTGGAGGGGTGGGCAGGCCAGGGCATAGGGGTAGGAAAGTGGGCCTGCCCTCCTGCCTGCCTCACCTCCTCCAGGTAGTCCTCCCAGATGAAGGTGCTCGCCTCTCTCCCCAGGTCTTGGGACCCCTTCAGCACTTTGAGGTTCTTAGAGCTGGTCTCTGAGCCTGGCTGCCTTTGCTGTGGCTACCCCTCGACCCTCTGACAGTCACTCAGCTCCCCGAGGGCCGGGTCAGGTCTCCCAGTGCAGCGCAGGGGTCTCAGACTGGGGGTTCCCTGGGACAGGCATGCTCCCACGTTAGTCTGATGCAGGAGACAACCTCTGCTCAGACATGTTCAGATTCCCACATTCACCTTCATTCATACTCACACCCATACACACAACCCCCTCTTATTCACACACACACACACACACACACACACACACACACACACACACACACACACTCACACCCTCCAGGAACACGGCCTGTAAATGCAGACACCAGGGGCTGCTACAGTCCTGCCCTGGGGGAGGTTCCCAGAATGGTGAGTGAGGGGGCTGGGCAGGCAGGCCCCAGGGGGCTAGGCTGGCACGGGGCTAGGCTGGCACAGCTTCCTGGCTGCTGCTCTGTGAGGGGCTTTGCCTGCTCCTGCCCGGGCCCTCCACCAGGCTGGGAACTCCTGCAGCTTCCCCCTGGGATGCCAGATCAGATAAGGGGCCTCGGGGAACCCAGGGGAGCCCTGGTGAGTCAGTACTCCCAGGTCGGGGTCAGCCAATATCTCCCCACCAGGCCTCGCCCTCTCAGTCACCCTCCCCTGCTTCCCTGGGGTCCTCAGCCACCCCTCACGGAGCCCATTCTGAGCAGGGAGTGCAGGGGGAGGCCCAGGGGAATGGCAACGTGGGCCCAGACAGGGGTCCTTCAGGAACTTGAGGGGGGCCTAAGGGACAGGGGTGGGGGGGCCTTTGCCTGTAGGTGGAGCTTCTCTGTGTCTATTCAGCTCTTGGGGCAGGGGCCTTGCCGTCCCCCTCTCTGCCCATGGGTCTTGGCCGGACCTTGTCATGTCTCCGCTAGGACCATCCTCTGATCCCTCCAGAGCCTGGGCCTTCCTCATTCTGTTCCCCTCTCGGGGTGGATAGTGGGTGGTGGGTGGGTGGTGAGTGGGGGTGGGGCACCCTGGGGGAAAAGAACATGCGGTTTTCCGCTTGAGGTGGGGCTAGCCACAGCCTCATTAGTGACTGAATTAATCACTGCAGTAGACAGGTCTCCAGGGCTGGGGCTTTAGAGGTGAGCAAGGTGGCCAAGGGCCCTGCCCTGGAGCTCAGCCTCCAGCCGAGGAGAAACAAGCATATCACCCATCAACCCACTGCCATCGAGTGGATGCCAACGCACAGTGACCCTGTAACAGCGGTTCTCAACCTGTGGGTCGCGACCCCTTTGGGGGTTGAACGACCCTTTCACAAGGGTCGCTCGATTCTCACAGTAGCAAAATGACCGTGATGAAGTAGCAATGAAAACAATGTTATGGGCGGGAGTTCACCACCCCATGAGGAACTGTGTGAAAGGGTGGCGGCGTGAGGAAGGTGGAGAACCGCTGTCCTATGAGAACTCTTCGCAGGACTAGAGAGCCCCATCTTTCTCCAGCAGAGTGGCTGGTGGTTTCAAACTGACAACCTCAAGGATTGCAGCCCACTGTGTAACCACTACGCCACCAGGGCTCCGTCACGCCACAGATCTGAGAAGACTCCCTGGGGGAGCAGAGCCGTGGCCGGCGGAGGGCTTCCTGGGGGAGGTGGCAGCTGAGCTGAGCAGGGACTTTTGTTGGGGAAGAGAGGGTGGGGTCGGGCAGCTCGGGCAGTGGCCCCACGTGGGAGGGAGCGAGGCTGGTTCTTCCTCTGGTCATCTTGCTCACTGGTGACCCCGCCACCCTCTGAGCCCGCCATGGGTGGGCGGTGGACATTGACCCAGTGGCTCCGTGGGAGACAGGCCTGGTGGTCAGCTCCCAGGGTGCCCAGTCTACTTCTACTCCAAAGGAGCGAGTGGGAGTGCCCCCCAGGGTTTCCCAGGCTGCAGATCTTTCTGGAAGCGGACTGTCATGCATGGGGGAGCTCATGGTTATCAGCTGGCTGCTTTAACCATGGCACCTGGGAATCCTCTGTCCCCGGGGGCTTGCTTTGAGTGGGAATGACTTCAGTGGCATCTAGCCACCACCACAGTCAGAGGAGGTGGCCACGGGACTCCCCCTGCCCTGCAAAGGCCTTCCAAGAGGGGTGTTAGGGACTGCTCTCTGGAGCTGCGGGTGCCTGTGCTCACAGAGCCGTCTCCACAGATCCTGGCGGCCACCATCGACAACGCCAGCCTCGTGTTGCAGATCGACAATGCCCGCCTGGCAGCCGACGACTTCCGCACCAAGTGAGCGTGGCCCTCGGGGACCCAGGGGTCTGGGGATGGGCCCCCGGCTCGGCTCGGCTCCCCTCTGAAGACTGTGGTGAGTGCAGTCAGAAGGGTCCATGTGGCAGTGAGTGGCTCACACCTCTGCCCCTCCCAGGTACGAGACGGAGCTGAACCTGCGCATGAGCGTGGAGGCCGACATCAACGGGCTGCGCCGGGTGCTGGACGAGCTGACGCTGGCCCGCGCCGACCTGGAGATGCAGATCGAGAACCTCAAGGAGGAGCTGGCCTACCTCCGCAAGAACCACGAGGAGGTGAGGCCACTCTCCCCTGGGTGCAGAGAAACCTGTCTGGGAGCAGCGGGGGAGGGGGGCGGGTCCAGAGCTTTCCTGGACTGGGCCTCCCATCCCTGGCCTGAGCCTAGGAGACCCCCTAGAGGAGGCCTCATGGCCCTTTTCCTCTTAAGACACTTCCCACACCCCTCGAGGCTCAGCCCACTGTGTGGTGGCAGTTAGCTGTCTAATGGGCACATCAGTCTAAGAAAACACAATGCTAATTATTATAACTAATTATACTGATAGCCCTAACAACTTCGAACATCTGCCCAGTGTGTTACAAATGATTCACAGCAAGGATCTTAGCGGATGCCAACGGCACTGCTCCGAGGAACACCCGTGGGGAAACTGAGGCCTAGGGAGACAGAGATGTAGTCAGGTTGCACGGACCTTCCCCAAGGCAGACATCCATCCACACCCAGGTCCATCCCTCCCACTGCCATGTCTGCTGCCTCCCCTTTTCAGGGAACCCTGGGTCCCAGGGACCCCTACTACAGGAGGGTGCTCTGGTCCCTGCAGGGGAGGCCTCAGACTCTGTCCTGGCGGCTTCCTTCCCAGATGGCCTGCGAAGGGGGCCTCCCCAGGAACAGGAGGCCCAGCGAAGGTCTCTACTTGGCTTTGGGGCTGGTTCTGTGGATTCTTAACTCCCTGCAGCCACCCAGCCTTGCCCTTGCTCACAAGCCTGGGCTCAGCTGATGCTGACCTAGCTCACACTGCTGGCTCCGGGTCAGTGGTCGGGGAGGGGGGCTGGTGAGGCTGACCTCTGTGGCCCAGTGTGCACTGGGCGACTGTGGATCCCACCGTCTTGTACATTTGAGATGTCATGTCCTCGACCTTCCGGGTGAGGAGCTGCTGGCCTTTCGTGTCTGTCTGTCCGTCCATCCCTCTGTCATCTTACCCATCTCCCAGGGTGAACAGGCGGGCCCCAGGCCTCTACCCAGCATGGCCCGGGGTCAGCTCCCACGCTCCTCTCTGCCCAGGAAATGAACGCCCTCCGTGGCCACGTGGGCGGCGACGTAAACGTGGAGATGGACGCGGCCCCCGGCGTGGACCTGAGCCGCATCCTGAACGAGATGCGCGACCAGTACGAGAAGATGGCGGAGAAGAACCGCAAGGATGCCGAGGACTGGTTCTTCAGCAAGGTGGGCGCACCTGTGGGGAAACGCGCTGGGTGCGGGCTGGAACCACGGTCCCACGTGGAAAGACTCTTGGAAACCAATTGGACTGAGCCCTGGTGCTTCCGGTGCAAAATGAGAGGCTTAAGGGAGCGTGGGATTGCCGGCCAGCGGGACAGATCCACAGCTGCTGGGGTGGGGTGGGGTGGGGGCCGCATCCACGGCAGCCAAAGGGACGGATTTGGGTCTCCTCACCCCCAGTGTGCTCGCCCAGCAGGTAGTGCAGGTAGTGTGTGTTTGGATGCCTGACCCATCCCCTCAGTAAGTGCAAACGAAGCCTCTCCCGTGTCCTGGGGAGTCACGAGCCTAGGAAGAACTTGTGCCTGTCTCCCACCGTCGTGAGGCTCCCCAGGACTCACAGATACAGGGCTGGGGAGGGGGTGGTGATAATGGGGGTGGCCTGCCCGGCCTCCAGCCTCCTCAGCCCCCGCGGCCCACCCTGCCTTGCAGACAGAGGAGCTGAACCGCGAGGTGGCCACAAACACGGAGGCCCTGCAGAGCAGCAGGACCGAGATCACGGAGCTGCGGCGCACCGTGCAGAACCTGGAGATCGAGCTGCAGTCCCAGCTCAGCATGGTAGGGCCCGCGCCCCGGGGAGCCCGGCTGGGACCCCTCCACCCCGTCCCCGCGCCCCACCCTCCGCGGTGCCGCGTGGTTCTCGCCCAGCCCACCCCTCCGCTCCCGCAGAAATCGTCTCTGGAGGGCAGCCTGGCAGAGACGGAGGCGCGCTACGGGGCGCAGCTGGCGCAGCTGCAGGGCCTCATCAGCAGCATCGAGCAGCAGCTGTGCGAGCTGCGCTGCGACATGGAGCGCCAGAACCACGAGTACCAGGTGCTGCTGGACGTGAAGACGCGGCTGGAGCAGGAGATCGCCACCTACCGCCGTCTGCTGGAGGGCGAGGATGCCCAGTGAGGGGGATCCCTGCCCGGGGGCGGGGCAGTCACGAGCCCCCTGGGAGGGACAGGGGGCTGAGAGAACAGAACCGCCAGGCCCAGAGGTGTGCATGTGCACACAGGTGGCTGGGAAAGGTGATGCAGTGGGGGAGGAGGGGAGGTTTGTAGGCGGTGAAACAGAAGACCCAGGCCTGGGTCCTGGTGAGAGGAGCCTGGAATGCCCACGTTACGCGTCTGCCCTGGGTCATTCATTGGGCAATAGGGAGCCACAGAGGGTTTCTCAGCAGAGGAGGGGTGTAGTCATAAGGCATTTTCCAACGCTCACTCAGAGGGAGAAATGGGGGTCAGGGGTCAGAGAGAGGGATCAGGAGGCTGGAAAGGGAGGTGGCCATGCATCCAGGAGTCCGATGACAGCCAGAAACTACAGGGTCACATGCCTGGCCGTGGGTGTGTGTGTGACGCCAGTCCGGGCTCAATAAACACACATGCACCCACGAGCGAGAGGCTGACGAGGACCCGGGTTTCTGCCTCTAATAACTGTGTGGCTGATGACCCCAGAAACCGGGATGGCTAGGGAGCAGAGCCAGGGGCCCTGGGACGTTTGATCCAGCCCGGGACTGTCCTGGGTCCCCAGGACACGCTGAGTCACACACTATAGCTTGTTCCCCAACAGGGAGAAGTCCGTCTATGGTCTAACCACAGGCTCTCCTGCTTTAATTGAGCCGATTTGTTGGGGCCTTCGGGATATGGAAAAACCACTTGCTCAGCTTCTTATAAATCCCTGGTTCACAGCCATTAGGTGCCGGCGGCAGGGCCTCCCTTGGCGCAGCCCTCTCCCTGCATCCTAGGCCTTCTGGCTCTCCGGGCTGTCTTTCTTCCCCTTCACTCCCAGCTCGGATTCGTGCCCATATTTTCTGGGATGCCCTGCTCCTCTTCTCCAGGGGCCAGGCTGTGGCCTGGGACCCCTAGATTGACAAGTCCCCCCTCTCTCTGCAGCCTGGCCTCCCAGTACTCCTCCTCATTGGGCTCGCAGTCCTCCCGGGAGGGTAAGTGCCTGCGCATCCCGCCCAGAGCCGGAAGGCAGGCGCGGGCATCGGCTGAGGACCCCGCTGGGTGGGGGAAGCCTGGGAGGTGCATGTAGGTGGCGACGGTGGCAGTGGTGGTGTGGTTCCTGCTGAGGGTAACAACGTGTCCCCTGCCTCACTGCCCGCAGCTGCAGTGACCACCCGCCAGGTGCGCACCATCATGGAGGAGGTCCAGGATGGCAAGGTGGTCTCCTCGCGAGAGCAAGTGCATCGCTCCACCCACTGATGCTGCCAGCAGAACCATCCCAGCCTCGCGGGTCCAGGAGCAGCCCAGCCACGTGCTCCCCGCTTAAGTGCCTGCCTGGGTCCCGCCCCTGTGGCCGGGTGGGGGAGGAGGGTGGGGGTGGGAGAGGGGAGTGGGAGCTTTTCTGCACTTGCTTTCTGA